TACTTCATTTACATGTGCCTTTTAATTCCCACAGAAAGCTTAAGAATCCATCACTCATTTGGCCAAGTATGGAATAAGATTTTATGAAGCTCCGTAAAGGTCTCACAGCCGTGCAGCAAGCAGCAGAGCAGGAACTGGCTGACTGCTCAGAGCCGGTGGGTATGTCTCACACAAGGCAGCCCATATGCACGGATGCTGACTCATGCCACTGTCTAACAGGGTGACAGAGAAGACTGGGCACTGAATTGTATTGTTCTGCTGGGCTTCCACCTAGCACAGACAGCTGTGGCATCTTTGGCATCTTTGTGCCCCATCAGGTCTTGCTCTGAGCTCTGGCACCCAACTCACTCTTCTGAAGCATTCTCCCAGGCTCCAATTGTCTCTTTTCTACAAAGACCTGCATTTATTAGCCTTTGATAGAACCTGTCAGAACTGTGATTAACTATTTCTCACAAGGATGTTAGCAGCCAACAAATGGCTTGTGGTTTCCTTTGCTAATGTGTTATCTTTTAACAAAATGCTTTTCAAAAAAAAAAAAAAAAAAAACCCAAAAACCTGCTGCTTTGAATCCTAAGGAGAGCTTCTCCCATGATAAACTTCAATGTCATTATACAGTCCTTTAAGGTAGGCTTACTGAGTATACATTCAAGAAGCATTTTGTTTCGTGTGGCGTGTGTGTGTGTGTGTGTATACATGTACATGCACATGCTATTGCATGTAGTTCTCTCCTCCCACTATGTGGGTTCTGGGTCGTCAGTGCCATTTCTTGCTAAGCTATCTTGCTGACCCTCAAAAAGGCATTCTTGAAACTATTGTCTCTGTAGAAACAAGCCATAATGGTGGATCTAACAGTTATGATGGGATAAGAGGATGTCCTATCTTGGCTATTGGGAATTGTTATGAGGAGTACTTGGACCTTTGATGGCAAAGAACTAATCCATTGTTTCTTAAATAGTTCCTGGATGGAGTCTGAAGAGTGAAGATACGCAGAGAAAATCTGCATTCTTGCTTTCCTTTTTCTTCAAGAGGCACCACCTCTGCCATATTTCAGGCCAAAACTTCAAGAAGAAGCAACCATTGTCACAATAGTATTGCACGTGAGTGGAGTAAATGCTGAAATGCAGGTAGTATAGGGTACCTCATTCCTCCCAGGAGGCAGTGTGTCTCACTCCAGTACTGAAGATGAACCCCACATCTTCAGGGGAAAGCCATTCCACACAGAGAATGCACGAGCGAATATCTAGAGGGCTGAGAATTCTATGGGCACCCAAGCACTGTGTGCAGTCCAACATAGCTGAAGACAAGAAGAGGTGAGACTGGAAAGTCAGCTGACTGCCAAGAGTCACAAGGTCACTCTTGCATGTCACCTTGAAGAAGCAAGTCTAATTCCTATAGACACTGTGGCATTGATAACAAACCTAGCCATACCTATCATTTGGGTATTGGAAACACTGAAAATTTAAGTCAAGCATCTCTTAGTCAAAAGTCTGAATGCTGAAATTTTGTGAAATACCTCCAAATATTTTGGACTTGGAGTATCTTAGATTTCAGATCGGGGATCCCAATGGTATACACACCCTTACTAAAAGATCTCAAAAATCCTAAAATTGGAAACATCCATGTTTTTTTTTTTTTTCTAAGCATTTTGGACAAGGGCTACTCAATTTGTATAACTTGGAAAGAATACCTTCAGATTGGAGTTTAACTCAACTTTGTTCTAAGATCTCAGCTTGTTAGTTCTACATTTTTTCTTCCCTGCCAATCTAGAAGAAATTCTTCTCAGCTGGCATCTTTTATCTATCTATGAAAGACACCCAAAGTATAGGATATATAGAGGGCTTTGTTAGCTGCAGAGCGCATCCTCGAAACAGCATGACTGCAGACACCATGTTTCGAAGGGCTAGTTTAGAGTGAGTGATTGATAGGATATTCAGAATCTTCCTGTTGCAGGGACACTTAGTCCTGTGTTGTGCCAGGGACATCTGGCTATGGTCAGGTTACTCGCCATCCTTGAGTTCAGCTCCTCTAACCAGACACAGTGTCTAACCCATCCAGCGCAGCTTCTCTTGGAAGGCACTTAAGATGCCAACTCAGGGCGTCTGTATCAGAGCCTTTGAGTGAGGCTTTACTCTCAGGAGTGCAGGCTCATTTGAGAGCCACTTCTCTGTCACGGTAAGGAGGTGTTTTCCACTGTCAGCATCATCTTCTGAAACATCATCACTAAGGTGACTTTGTTTCCCTAGTACATTCCCTCAGTCTTCCTTAAAACAGACCCTCCATCATTCAGCACAAACATCAAGAAGTCACTTGCCTCCTGACAATATGGTCACCAGAAATAGGTATATTATTTCTTAATTTTGTACCCTTTGTTACTATATATGCATTAAAAATGAACATCATTAGCAATATTTCAGGACAAAATGATTCAGAGGGCTTTCATAGCATCAGAGGACCATTTTCTAAACAGGTGCCATGGACCGCTCAAATGTTCACAGAGACCCTAAGTGATGGGTGGACAGGTGCCATGGTGTTCACAGCGACCCTAAGTGATGGGTTACAGATGCCATGGACAGCTCCAGTGCTCACAGAGACCCTAAGTGGTGGGCTGCAGACAGACTGAGACACCACGCTTGATTCTCATCACAGGTGAACCTATTAACCTTTTTATTTTTTTATTTTTGAAAAAAAAAAACATGTAAGATGAATGTACGGACAAGAAAGCCTGCCGTGGCAGGACTAGCAGATCTAGCTCTTAGAACTCCAAAGACTTCATACAAATTCAGCAGAATTGGTAACTTGTGATAAGTGAGTCACGCTTGTCCAGGCAACGGCAGCTGGGGATCAGAGTGGCTGTGTGAGTGCCCATACATATGTGTGTGTGTTTGTAGCCAGGCACCCAGACAGAGAAGGCATGAGTCCAATAGTCTGTTCACATCTTAAAGAGACAGGACTAATAACAAGGGTTTGTAAGTGTTGTTGGTTCTGGAGAAGACCTTCAGCTCTAAATAAATTTATTCGACAGATGAAATTATAATGTGAAAAAAAATACAGTGTCTCTTCCCTAACACTGAGCAAAAAGACAAGCAAAACTCACAGAAACTGCTTCTTTCAGTGTCAAATGTTTATTTCTATGCCATGGTTTCCTTAGCACAATTTGCAAAAGAAAGGAATCCAAAAAAAAAAACCCAATTGTTATTAATAATAATATTTTTGGGATATTTTCTCTGCAGATAGAAGAAAGAAAATACACAAATTGGTACCAGAATTATCATTTCTTTCACACCATTCTAGCAAGCTGCATCTTTTTCCCTTGGATGCCACTTTTGTTTAAAATTAGGAAAATATCCACAGGGAAAAAACAAAACAAAACAAAACAAAAAAACGTTTTGATTCATTCAAATAACCCTGGGGAAGTTTTTGTCAGCGAATGTATCTTTGTTTTGGTACACTCTATTACTGATTGTCATATTCTTATTATTTAATATAATAGGCATAATTTATTACATAAACAAAGTGCGTTGAAAAACGAAAAACGCTGGAAATAAACTGAAACGTGATGTCTCCTAAACCTCTGTGTGGAACTAACTGAAGCAAGGGAACACAAACTTCACGGCACTACAAACGCAGCTCTCCTCTGATGGAAATGTGCCTAGGAGACTCCTTCTCGCTAGAGCGGGGGTGGGGGGTATCCCACACAACTGATACAACCTGATAACAAACCGGTGATTATTTCGTTTTTAGTTTTCAATGAAAAGGAATGCTTTAGTTTCTTAAATAGGTCCTGCATTCAAGGGAGCCAGAAGATGGCACCTGCTCTCTAGGTAGACTTCTCTCGCCTGATTTTTGAGACGCAAATCCACCAAGACTTTTACAGCAGAAGTGGGTAGCACTCCTCAGATCACGAGGCCCTTAGGAAGCAGCCTGTCCTAAGTGTGCAGGGTGGTGAAGGGCCAGCACCCGGAGGACACCACGGTGGCTGTGCACAAGATTCCCTTCAGCAGACTCAGTGAAAGGATGAGCGTTCTTTAAGTTCATGCACATTTTATTGAATAGTAATATAAAATGCTTTTTCTTTGTCATGGTTACAGGTGCATGCTTTGACTGCCAACATTTCAGAAGTCAAATTACAAAGGCAAGGCTTTAGGCTGTAGTGAATGACTTGGGCACTTATACAATTGTTAAAAAATATGAATGGACTTTTGTTGGTTGTTGTTGTTGTTTTCAGAATGAACCAGTTGTAACCCGTAACTAATATACAAAGGGAAAAAAAGTGAAAAAAGTACATATTTTTTTTGTGGCACATGACAGAACAGAACGAAATAACTAAATTGTTATGACATTAACGGTTACCATGCATTTAGAGTTTCACATGTAACTACAAACTTATTTAAATTTCACAAAGTTTGCTAAACATGCCAACCATCTATGTGTGCACTGACAAGCTTATGTTAAAAACTTTTAAGAATACTCTCCCCTTTAGATTTTTTCAAAGCTTTTTTTTTTGATTACAAAATTTCAAAGGCATTAAGCATTTTAGAGAATATAAAGTATGCCAGTATACATACATTTCCAGTATATGTCAGACCACTAAGCGCATTACAGTCCCATACAGGCCGATACAGCCATTTTATTTTTTTTTCTTAAAAAACATGCATAGGCAGATTTTTTTTGTTTTTGTTTTTTACAGAATATAGATGCTTCGTCACTGCACTATGGTGTCGTGTTCACTATACTTAAAAATGCACCACTCATAAATATTGAATTCAGCAAGCCACAACCGAGACCTGATTTATCAACAAAACCCCTAAATATAAACAGCAAAAAAGATGGGTGTAATTATTCCAGTTTTTTTTTAAAACTTAAAGAAAATGTATTCACTGCCAAATTAATAAGTGCTCTATGGAAAGAAGGGCATTCAAGCAAACTAAAGGAACCTGAGGTAAGCACGAGCTATACAAAATTAAACTGTCCTTTTTTGGCATTTTAACAAATTTGCAACATTCTTTTTTTTTTCCAGGTTTTTTTTTTTTTAAAGACTGCCTAATTCAGTTTCTAGCCATTGTCTGACGTACGTAGCAAAACCTTATCAATAAATAGTCCTTATTTAGTTTGTACATCATTGTTTTTTGTTGTCGTTAAAAATGTTTGATCTCATCCATTTTTAGTGCTGCACTGTAAACGTACAATAGAGTATAAGAAATTAGACAAAGTTTTCGTGTCCAGTAACAGAGTAAAAGGCCTTTCATTAACCTATCTAGAAGTCCCCAGTGTAGTAGGAAAACACGTTCACTTCCCTAACATTGCAGTATAGACTAGCATTAGCTTTCTTTTTAAAACCTTTTTTCCTAGAAGCTTTTTTTAAAGGCATACCCAAAAGAGGTGTTTAATCACCACCCTCACCAAAATATAGTTTATTATCTCTCTCCCTCTTTTTTTTTTTTATTTCATGATAGTGTAAACTGAATCCAATTCCTGGCCCCCAGAGCAAACAAGCTACCGTCAGAGGCAAGAACATCCAACTGCTGAGATGCAGCAATCCCATCATGACCTGCAGCTCAAAAAAAAAAAAAAAAAGTGAACAGGAAGTGGTCACTGAATATTGCTGCTATTACTGCCGTTGCTGTCCGTGCCGTTAGTCTCTGAGGCGAGAGCCTTGTTGATGGAGTTAAGGTTGGCGTCGGAGGGCATGGCATCTCTGCGAGGCGGCATCCTCTCGTTAATTCGGTCCAAGCCCTTCGCCTCCTCGAAGCTAGTGATCTTATGTTGTGGTGAAAATCCTTTGATAGCTAAACAACAAATCATTAAGAAAAGAGAGAGAGGGTTAGGTGAGGTGGAGCACCACCCAGGGCACCGCGGTCGTGTCGGGTGAGGTTAGAGACTTCGGAGTGGGTGGGAGTCCTTTGGTGGAGAACAGTATGACGGGACCTGATGACGACACAACAGACTCCTTACCATACTGGAGGGAACCAAGGGTTTGAAACAGCCAATGTCTCTTGCCAACCAAAATGTCCTCTTGCAGTGATTAAGATGTAAGCATCTCTCCTGTCTTCATCAAAGTTTAGTTCACAGTGGATAAGGAAAAAGCTGTTCCAGGGGCAGGTTTCTGGGATTCAGCATCACTGGCAGCATTACTAGCGTGATGATCCACGGATACCCTGGGCTAAAGAGCCTGTGCATCCCCTGTTCTCACTCTACCGCCACGCTAGGGATGGCCACATCAGTGGAAGCCCTTTCTGCTCTACCCAGAACGCTAGCCACGGCTTAGAAGAGAAGGTCTAAGGAACTAGACAATGAATGGGCAGGGACGTGTGGTTTTGCCATCTCTAAATTCCACAAAGCTATCAACTCAATGGTATGGGGGAAAATGAAATTATAAGCTCCCCTCCCCCTCCACTTTGCACTGGAAGTCTATATACAGTGGGTAAGGGAGGAGGTAAGAGAAACTCAAAAACAAAGGTCAGATGACTAAGCAGAGAAGCATTTTCTGCCCTTCAGCAGCAAACAGCCCAAGCTGATGCGCATCTGGCACTCGTGACTACCTGAACCAGGGAAAACCCCCTCTCTGTAGAGCAACAAAAAGTTGGGGGTTAAAGGAGAAGCAGAGATGAATGCTTTTCACAAATTTTTAGCAAAAATGAATTGAATTGGTTCTGGTTCTTTTAATTAAAACCTTGACTTCTCTTGTGTTCTCTTCTAATGACCCTGTGTGTGCTACAGAAATATGAGAGGTACTTTGGAAATCACTTCCTCAGTGGGCACACCAACAGTGAGCTGAAAATAAAACACACAGATGGGGAACCAATGACATCAGCTTGCTTCACTCCCTGTGAAGTGCGAGCAAGGTATGGACGGGTGGCCAATCACCAATGCTGACTTGGGCTGCATCTCCACGGCGTATGAAGGACAATTTCAAGGTACCTGTACCCTCCCCACTTTGGGAGGAAAAGTGGGAAGCCATTTAAGGCTTATGTTTTGCCAGCCACTTGGACACAAACGTGCAGCCTCCTGCTAGTACAGATGACAGTCCTATGAGATTTACACAGTGCTTTAAAAGCTCATTAGGAAGAAAAACAAATTGTTCCCCGTCTGCATTTTCAGGTTAGCAAAGTGGTGATTAGTCAAGTGTGGGAGGAAGAACACGGGGAGATGGGGAAGGACCAAGGCCCAAAGCAAAGCTTCTTAATTTTGCAATTTGGTAATAAACTGAAAAATAATTGTGTTGCCCAATGAGCACCCACCCTGAAAATGAATTCAATTATTTTATGGAGCAAAAATAACAGACACCCTAGTCTTTTTTCTAAATGGCATCGTCTCATGGTCAAAAGTCGATCGTGATTAATCATGAAACTGTTTCATTCATTAAAAAAAAATATAAACTGGAAGTTCTAGGTTTTGCAACCTATTGGGTGGGAGCATAGGAAATGCCAAATCTAGCGGAACAGGGGCTCGTTCAGGATGGGGCTCCATTGCGGATCGCGTCTGTCTGTCTGTCTACCCTTCACAGAAGAAAGTGCTCTGCTCCAGTTGCTGGTCAGACAGTGGGGGTTAGCAATTTACATTGGGAGTATACTTAACACAACACAGAGCCACAGAGTCACAGAAAACAGCCAAACTATCAACAGGAATGCACACTGCAGATTAGATTTTGCCAAGAGGAATGGAGAATTCCCACATAAATAGCAGCTTGCTCACTGCTATTTAGGAAACAGTTGTATTTTTCTCTTACATCACTGTCATTTCCCCTACTATATCCAAATCAGGAGCAAATTGGAGAGCTAAAGTGACACTTTTTTTTAACAACACACCAAAGGACTATATATGCACACAATTTGTGAAAAATCAGTTATTTTGCAAGAACAAAATACAACTGAAGAATTTTGTTTTAAAGGGGAACTTCAAATTATGCTTTAAAAATTCCAGAGGGTGTGGCACGCATAATATTGAACATTATATTCATGTGCAGTTCTCGTATAACCATGTAGTAAGACAGCATTCAATTAAAAAGCAGTTCTAAAGTGTCAACAATGCTGCTCTTGAGTAGTGCTAGAAGGCAGTTGGAGATGTACCGTTCTCAATTTCCTCTGAAGCTCCTAGCAAGAGGCCTGGCGTAGAGCAGATGCTCCGAATCACATTAATCAATCATCTGCTCGCTAGTCTTGTCGGCCACTTCACTGCCACAGAACTTTTTGGGCCTTCATATTTTGTGAGTGCTAACTTCCTTCCAAATAGCAATTGGTCAAAACTGCCGAGGATAAGAGTTTACCTCCACACATCTGTCTCACGTTCAAGTATTTTAGAGACGTAAGTGATGCTGAACCGTAACAAAGCACTACCAAGCATTTCTGTTGTGGCGACCTTGAGCAGTCTAGACTCAACTTAATTTTACTCTCTCTTGTCTCTGTCCTACCTGGGAGTGATTTGAGGGAGGGATGGTTCAGCTCAAAGCATATTGATTTTACATGTCATTTGTCAAAAGCAGCTGCCATAACCCCCACCCCACATCATCCACGAGAGATAGAAATTTATAAATATCGATATATAATCCTTTAGTTTTCTGTGATTAGACTAGGTTCATTGTATACAAAAGTCAAACATAGCTTTAAGGGAAAAAAAACAAACAAACAAACCATAGAAGGACACTTTCCCCTTTAAAGCAAGAACGTTTCGGTTAATACTGAGCCACAACTGTTAGCCCAACACCCACACACTCTGTACAAGCTACAGCGGAAAAAAAAAAAAAAAAGAATACACCCAGCAGAGCCCTTGTCTGTTGCGGGCACAACAGAAAGGGGACTGGCCAATTTACCTTCATCAGCCTCAATAGCCTCAACAGTAGCTGAAGAGAAGAAGAAAGGGGTGCAAAATGAATGAGAAAATGAGCAGAGGATTGGTTCAAGGCTAAGAACAAGTCAGTGACGATCAAAGGAACTGGGGGGACTAATGTGCCTCTAAGTGCGGGCTTCTGGCACAGACAACTAGACAGAGAGGCTACAAAGAAAGGGGGAACAATACCGCAGAAGTGAGAGGTGTCAGTCATGGCCTGCGTACACCTGAGGGAGCGAATGGGCGGCCTGGAGTCCTGGCTCACTAATCGATGACAAAGTCGTTTAGGGAAATGTGCAGAAATGCTTTCCGTTATTTCGGTTGAATTGGCAATTGGGTTATGGACATCTATGTTTCTGATTCTAAGAGCACTTTAGAATGCACGCTTTGGTGATCTGTGGTGGGGTGTTGGAGGACTAGGGCGAGCTTGGAGCTGGGCTGTGATGTCGGTGAGATGCTTTATGCTAGTCAATAGTAAATGCCAGTTTTTATCCTCTAGAGATAGAGATGCATGGGGTGTGTGTGGGGGAGGCGGTTAAAAGGACACAAAATCAAGTTGTCTAGGTGGCAAACACATAGGAGTCTTCAAAGAAGGGAGGGGCAGGGAACCACAGAAGGAAGGTCAAGGCCTGGACGTCTTTAGCCAGGCAGGCTGCGTCCCCATTGTTTTCTTTTTCCTGTTACAATACCATCTTTGGAAATGAAGTTCAGAGTGTTGCATGTTAAGTGGGGACATGGCAGGAGCAATAATAAATGAATTAGCATCTTCGGGAACAGGGCGTCTCAAGGTTGAAGCTACAGAGTAAGGAAGTCCCTGAGTAAAGTACAATGATATACTGAAACCGTAGCTTCATAGGTTGAGTAAGCCCACTGCTCACTTAGGCTCTACAGCTTCCCTGAGCAGGTGGAGGAGTTTGTCTGTGCTATTAGATGATGCCCTCTTAATCAAATGCTAAAACATTAAATTTTTCTCTAAGTTCAAAATGCTGAACATTGGTAGTATTCTATCTGTGGACTTCAATTTGTATTTTCTCATGATTTAAAATTAAAAGCTACAAGAATGAGTATTTTTATGAAGATAGGTATGTTATTGGTAACTATTATGAAGGGGTTGAGATGGTGTTAGAGTTCAGTAGTATGGGTGGGTGAGTGGTTTACGACGGTGATGGGTTGGGATTAATGGGTGATGGGGTGCTGGAGTAGCTGCTTTGTAGAGCTGTTCTGCATGACTTATGGTGATCTCCGGTTGAACTTTATTAGAGGTTCATTTATTATTGGCCACGTATGCATTCCAGTTAGCAATGCATTCTGGATTCCTCATGACCACAGAGGAGAGCTGAACGTTAGATCTCTGCCTCGCTTCTCCTCTTCTGCCAGTGGAAAGGGGTCAGATATGAATTGCCAGGCATTGGCAGTGCATTGGTTTGAAATATATACTGAGTTGTCAAATTCTCAGGACAAATGAAGTCTCAACCTAGAGTATATGTGATTGTGTGTTCGTGTGTGTGTGTGTGTGTGTGTGAACTCAACAGAGAATAGCACAAACAGATGGGTTTAAAAGAAAAGAAAAGGAACTTGAGTCAGTGAAGCTACAGACATAGGTGACGATCTGAAGGTGACACTATGCCACTGTAAAACATAAAGACCTCAGGTTTAGAAGCAAAGCCGAAACCCTGGAAGCACACCAGCACCGCTGGGTAGAAATACACATAGCCTAGCTTATCCTCAGCACAGGCCATCTGTGGTCAGTCCCTGATGGTGTGTGTGCCTCTGCTGTGGCATGAGAAGCTGTGGATTTCCATCAGCTGGGCAGAACTGCATTCTGGGTATATAAATCATTTTATGCTAATCTCTTAGTATGTTTATCTTGATGGAAAAGTTTTTTTGTGTTTATGAAGCAATTGATTTCTACAGGTTTAAAGAGGGATTTTTTTTTTTGTTTATCTCAACTGCTATAGATCATCCTGTTTCAAACTGTTTTTGAACTTTTGTGTCAACTCAAAGACTGTGGTTTTTGAGAAAATTCATCCAAAAATAAAGGTTATGATTGTTCTTCATGAAGTGAGATGGTCTGGCAATTTTGTGCCCGTGAGTTGATCATTATGTGTTGTGTAGAAGAAATATCTTAATAATGTAATGGTAACCAAATACCTGTGTCTTTTAGGATATAGGACAAAGATAGGAAAGAAAATAGGAGAAAGAGCAAGGGGAGAAATAAACTAGAGGCTGAGATTATATTAAAATACTACACTATATTTTTGCTGTATTTGTTTTCTGTTCAAATCTAACCTAACAAAGTTTCCATATTGTGTAAGTTATATTCTAAATAGTGGTAGTGTTAATTAAACTGATAAAAGAACATACATAACAGAAGAAAAAGTATACATGATTGTGTTGTCTAAGATGGGTGATACTAGCTATATTTAAGTTAAATTTGTTGAAAATTAGGGGTTGTTAGTTATATGTCAATTGTTCAGTGGTTCTGTGTCACCAGCGGCATTTGCAGCCATAAAAAAATTTCTATTATCACAAAAAGTTATGCTGGCTGATACTTGTCCAGCCAGTTATGACTATAAAGTAAAATGTCTACTTAAAAAAGATATTATTATTAAAAAAATAAACCAAAATGCAGTTGAGATCTCTCTTCTTGTATTTCTGATGAGTCAAAGAAAAGGCCTGTTTAAGTCTCATTTCTGCTTTAAGTGGATAATTAAATTACCCTTTTTATAGTTTTTCCAATAAAATCTATAGCTATGCAAACATATAGTTGTGTGTAGATTTTTATCAATCATGTAGATAGGCAGATGATTTATGAAAATGTAACAGAAAATTTACACTAATTGGCCGAGAGAGGGGAGCTCCAACTCAAAGCTACTGCTGTGTGCACGTGTGCAAGTGAGATGTCCCATAAGGAGGCCTGAAGATATGGATGCGCGTGCTAAGGAGGGACAGAGCGTGGCCTGACGTGAAGGTCAGTGCTTTCATGTGGGACATGACTGATCACACTGGAGTGTGAGCTTTAGGCCTTCTTCCAGTCAAGAAGAACTGAAGAGAAGACTGAGCTGAATGAGAAGCTCAAGGTTCTACTGGTACAGCTGGTCGTGTGCTCCCAGCCACAGCACTGGGCTCGCTTACCGCTTTGCAGGGTCTGTTTCCCTCCGGAAAGTACTCCGCTGGGGAGCATGCCTGTCGGGGTCAGGCCCTTCAGGGTCAGAACACTCTCACTCTCTTCTCTGGAAGACACAGAAGGTTTGTGGAAGTTAATGTTTGCTTTCTTTCATGGAAAAAAAAAAGATATATAAGAACCCATATTTACCTCACATTGGCTTATACAAAATACAATCCATTTTTATCTATTTATACATAGGGGGTGTTGTATAAATGACTTCAGTGACAAAGTTACATTATGTAATTGTGGAGTTATGGCCCCCTGAAGATCCTGAAGGTGCTTCTGGCTTCATAACCACATCTCACAAGGCAAAGATGTTGCTTTAGTGACGACAAGGACCTGTGTATCCAGTGAGCAGAAGGGCAGGCACATGCAGGCCTGCTTTATCATGAAGGGCTCAGGAACAGTCTATGAACCCCACCTATCAAAGAGGTGACTCTTACCTAAAGGTCAGAAACCTGGGGATTGTTTCAGGGGGCCACTAAAGGCCTCTGTGTCATGTGACAGACACACAGAGATTATTTCAGGGGTCACTGAAGGCCTCTGTGTCATGTGACAGACACACAGAGGGATGGTCCACAGGCAGGTGGGAACATTTCTGAGCTTGTATTTTTCAGCCTTTCCCTTCCCAGAGTTGCGTACATGGAATTCTTTCATTGTGCATATGTGACTGTTGCTGCAAGAGAATCACTATTTCAATTAAGCTGACCATCTAACAATCACTTGGACTTACAGACTCAGTAGTTAAAGAAGCAGACCTATGGAATAGGAATAACCTATTATCTTCCCAGACGACAGATCCTACAAGCCTGCATGTGCAGGAAAAAGTTCACAATACATCTGTAGTGCTACATACTCTACACACAGTACTGAGTAGGTCCAAGTACCAAACTCATTTTATGATGATCCCCAACATGACTGAAAAAAGGATTTCTCCTTCCATCTGTGCCTTTTGTCAGTTCAGAAACTGGGACTGTACTGTCCGGCTGCTCTATCTCGTAGCTACTTTTACCTTCCCATTCCACAGCTCCGCCCATGGTGAACCTTGACGCCTCTGCTCCCACGCATTTCCTTTTATCTCGGTGCTTCTCACAACTCCACCATCTTATTTATCAAAAACAGCTGTGCTGACCAGCCACACACTCAACTCATCTATTCTCAGTGGTGCGATTACTGTGCGTTACCCCAATCAACTTGATAACACTTGATGCTCCCATTGTTTACTTCCTTCAGCCCGGGGCAAGGCCTCCATTATATTCTGCAGGCTGTTTGCATGGGCATTCTACAGGAACAGCACCACGCAACACATGGCTGTTTGTGGTGGTCTCTTATGAACCTGCTAGCATCTCTTATTTTGACTACTACAGCCTCGTAGAAGGTGTTTCTCCTCCATCTTCCCAAGGTTTGCCCTCTCTGCCTACAGCTCTTTTCAGACAGAAAGGCAGGCTGACTAAGACATTGACTAGCAAACAATGGCAGTTCTTCCCTGATGCAAACTTCCCTGATGCCCTCTCTCATTAAGGGTGAAGGTAAAACCTTCAGCAGATCTCACGGGGACCACACCTACCTACCTATCTACCCACCCTCCATACTCCTCCACCCTCACCCAGCTCTTAGATGACATTTCCCACCAGCGTCCTTCACGTAGGCAGCACACCTTATCCTAGGGTACTGTCCTTAGTCATCTTGTCTCAGAACTGTCTGTGTATCTCATTCCTTCTGCCTTTAAATGACTGTTCCAGTCTCACTTTCTAATGTTGCTCCAAGCCACGCTTTACCTGTTCTATTATTTATTTTTTGTCTCTAAATACCACTTCTCTACTGTCAAGCTTCTGGAAAACAGGAGTTCCTTTCTGCTTTGACCATTCTTGCATCCCAGCACACACACTGGATCAATACCAATGTATACAGGTCCGCATTTACTGGAACAAGGAGTTTTTTTTTTTTTTTTTAAATATGGAAAGGATGATGGCAGTTCTGATCCACAGTCTAGATTCTGTCTTCTTAACGGTAGAGTTTACTCACGAATATTAGGATTGAGCCAGCAATTAATCGCGGTTCACATTCATATGGGAATTTCAACCATTTTACGCTTCTGATGTCAAACCGCTAGGTTATGTAAAAAAGAAACGTTTTGAATACTAACAATGCAGCTATGGAAAACTCAAGAGTACCTCTGAAAAGATGAACACAACTTGCCTTTACATTCACATTTAACGTCAGGTTTTAGCTTCATGACGGGCAAATATTTCTACATACCAAATAACTGCTGGCATCAGATCCCATTAGGCAGCCCATGTCTCACCTGGATGTCATCACAGACAGTAATAGTCATGGGCCTGGAGGGACCTTACAGACCTGGGGCATGTGCAGGATTCCACAGCACTGATTCTTCCACTCTTATTTGCTTTGGAAACTCAAATAATAAAAACTTTATTTTTATATTGAGGCTTCTACTGTTTTTTGCTTTGTTTTTCTCTATGGAGTTTTATATGGAAATTCCTGGAGTTTTTATTTTTCCTCCTAGTAATTTCAGTTAGAGTGTGGTCTGGTAAGTCTAAGGATAATGCACATACAAATGTTCATGACTGAGGTACCCACCAACACAGGATTTTGATGTAGTCATTTATCTCCCTGGGTCATTTCTGTAGCCAGATGGGACCTGCTGGTGGTCCTCAGAACTGATCAGCCTGTTTCTTCTTAAGGATCTCTGCGCCTGCTATCTTCTTTGCGTTGAACGCCCTTACTCCATTTCTTCATCTAGATGGTGTGTATCTTCTCAGACCACCTCACTCATTATTCCTTGTTGCCCTCAGTAAATGCCATATTGATAATGCAGTAGCCCTGTATATTGTTTTACTATTCTTTTTGGTGCATGCTTAGTTTTTGAAGTTCGATGTTATTTACTCATTGTGGGAATGAGTGATTCCCACTAAGGCGCAGGAGAAATAACGCTCATTTCCACTGTCAATGTGACTTTTCAAAAGGGCTCCAGCTGCCTCAGAGCTGCTGCTGACTTGGGGTGTCTTTGTGGCATGATGGGGATGCTTCTCATCCTGCTCAAGGGCTCCTAGCTTCAGCACCAAGTCACTTAGTGACTCTCCAGGGACTTCAGCAAGAGTGGCAGAAAGAGCAGGAGAGGAATCAAGAGCAGGCAGAACCCCCTGACAGGAGGCAATTAAAGGCTGGGAGACAGCTCAGGGTTTGATAAAGCATTTGCTATGCGAGTAGGAATAATGGAGTTCGATGACCAGGATCCACACAGAAGCCAGGCAGGCATGACATCACCTGGGATGCAGGGATGGGACAAGCTGGCTATACAGACTAACTGGAATGAGTGAATCCTGGGTTCAGCAAGAGGCCCTGCTGCCAACCAATAAAGTAGGGAGTGCTTGAGTAAGACGCTTGAGGTCAACCTCAAGCTTCTAACAGCAGGGAGAGGGAGGGAAGGAGAATAAGGAAGCAGGGAGAGGAAAAGAGAGGATGAGGGGAACAAAAAGGAGGGAGAGGGGAGGCGAAGAATGAGAGAAGGACAGATATGAATTACAGCAGCCACTGGCCAAAAATGTGCAGTGGCTAACTCCTAAAGCATTTCTATGTTTCCACACACCTGTGTATGACCATGAATGGGCAGCATTCCTCATGGAGAAACTATACCGTACTTTAAAGAGGTCCTTGAAGAGAAGTAGAGTCCTGTGCATTATTTAGGAACAGATTATCAAAGTACAGTGCAGGGAAGTCTCTTCAATAAACTGTTTTCAAAACACATGCTTAGTAACATCAATAGGATGATTCATGATCCACTGAGAGAAAACAAACTCCTATAGAGACCTAAAACAGGAGATGGCTTTTGTTCCTCGTGATTCATTAGGGTTCACAACTCCAGCTCTCTGTTTAATGTTCATTTTCTTGAAATCCAGTGAAAGGCACCCTATAAATTCATCTTGCCCCAAAAGCCAGACTGTAAACTAGAACTAGACCCTAATCACGTTCCTTGTGAAATGTTTTAAATCCTACAGCAAAGGAGGGAGAAGATGCCTTGTAATCCACTTACACACCCTTTGCTGATGGAAATGATTGAGTAGATTGCAACGTAAGTACAATGCAGATGAATTGACAATTTCCATTTAAAAAGAGACAAACAATTCAAGGAGCGTTTTCTAGTGAAACATTTAAACTGTCAGAGTAAAGTGTTAAGATAGCTACTACACAATCAGTTTTCGAACAGACAGGGAGGAAAGACAACCTTACCTGAGAACTGAGAACACTCTGGCCATTTTGCCTATTGCTCGGATCTTGTTCCTGATGACCTCCTTCCGGGCTGCGGCCGTGGCTCCTGTATTGGAAAACAGAATTCAGCAGTTAGGGACCTTTTTATCTTTCCACAATTACTTTGCATCTGTACCAGGGTAACGGTTAGACTATACATGACCAGTTTTGCTTTGTTTGGTTTTGTTTTCCTCTTGCTATCTCTTATTTGAGCTCGGATAACTGAACTTTAGATCCCTGATGCCATGATGCGATCCTCAAGACCGACAAAGAGGAACTTGTGGCGAGTTTACAGGGGTGGAGCCCATGTGAGCAAGACTGGTTAGGTTCTACGCCGTCTTAGTGTTTGAGTTTCTCATCTCTTCTGCAGTAGAAGATGGTGAGTTAGTGTTTTTTTATTCTTGATCTCCAAGCTGGAAGATTACTTTAGGAAACTACTGGGCTCTCAAAAATTCTCCCTAAAACTGAACAGACCCCTGCAGACTCCATGATCTCTGAATAACCATTTGTGTTATTTACTGGTCATAAACACTTCTTTCAGCACTAGCCATTCTTTCAGTATAAGTTCTGCAGAGAAATGTGGAAAACTGCATTGAGTTTGTCAAAGGACAAAGGTAGACATGGTAACAAAAATGTCTGCATGGTCCTAGTGTGGGAGAGATGACTCACTGGGTAAGGGCGCTTGCAGAGGGCCTGGGTTTAGTTCCCAGAACCCACATGTTGATTCACAAACATCTGTAACTCCATATTCAGGGGAGCTGATGCCCTCTTCTGGCCTCTGTAGGTACCAGATACACATATGGTGCACACACACACACATGCACATACATATACATATATGCAGGCAAACACACATAAAATAATATAATAATTATAAGCGATACGTGGCTGTGCTTTACAATTTTTCATCTGAATGTTAAAAATCAATCTATATGAGCAACTGCCAATGCAAGCATTGTCTTAAAAATACTGTATGATCTTTAACAAATCTATTTTATTTGTTAATTCTCAAAATGTACAAAACACAGAAAAACACTTTTCTTGTTAAGATTTGCGTGTGCATGTGTGTGTGTGTGTGTGTATGTGCGCTACTGGGGATCGAATATAGGCGCCAGTGAATGCTATGCACTGAGACACATCCCCAAACCTTCTTAATTAAAACAAAATAGGCAAAGTTATCTGTGATGGTCAATACCGTCAACTTGACTAACTAATCAAGGAGATGAGCAAAGCACACTCTCTGATGTTATCTGTGACAAAATGTCCAGGTTAATATGGGTGACGTCATCTTATAAGTGTGGAGCGTGGAGAAAATAGAAAGGGAAGTGAGAAAGGCAGCTAATGTTGGCATTCCATCTCGCTGTTTCCCAGAGTTGTTCTACCCACCCTGCCCCCTCTGCCACCACCAACCAAAATGCCTGACACTCTGAGCCCAAACTGTCCTTTCGGTTGTCTGAAACCATGAGGCCAAATTCTGTCCCGTATGTTGTCTGAAACCATGAGGCCAAATTCTGTCCCGTATGTTGTCTGAAACCAAGAGGCCAAGCTACCCCTTAAGTAGTTGTTTTCTCACAAATTTTTTCACATGAGTTTAGAGGAAGTCAAAACCAGCAATTTTTAAAAATTCTATTGTGTCATACACATGTATATTTACAAATTTTACACACACAAACACACACATACACACACACACACTCAAATTAAATTCTCCCCAAGCTCTGATAAGACCAGAAGCATTCTTAATTTTAAAGAACAATTTGAGCCCCTAAGGTTGCTGACACCAGGATATGTACATGGCATGTGTAATGTAGTTTTCTCTCTAATCCATGATTAAAAACAAGTTTTTGAAGGAAATTCTTCTGTTTGTAAACATAACTTGGAATCGTTTTCCCTGTTTGTTAAGAGTGAAGCAATTGCCCACTACCCTAACATTGCTGCATAAGAGAAAACCGTGACAGCATGGACAATTCTGAACTGGCTAGAGATCCCCCCGCCCTTTTAAATTTTCTAAGTGTGAACAGAACAAACCGTCTTCCATGTGATTAATCTTCAGAGGTGATGTTTGTGCCCATTCACATCACAGACACACGGTATCCCCAGGAGATGGGTACCAGCCAGTGGCATAATGCCACCATCCCTCTGACATCAGAGCAGCCCACGTTTTTGTCCGTATCTTTCTCTCTTGGGGTGACCACACCATGGTAACTACTCCCCTAAGTTAATTGTCAGGGCATGCTATTTCCAGCTATTCTGCCAGTAACTGGATGGAGTGGGTTCAGATGCAAGCTGGGAAAAAACCTCTCCAGTGAGATCTGCGGTAATTCAGAGCCATGCGACTCCACTCACTAAGAATCCCTTGAGCTACCTGCTTGAACACCACAGAAGAAAACAGTGCCATTTCTGCCTCAAACCTTACTCTGAGATTCTAATAGCATTTGTAAATTCAGACTTTTCTGCACATGAAATTTTGTTCCAGACATCAAGTAGGAGACTGAACTCAGTGTGTTTAGATTATAGGTGATTAATGACTGATGCTACTGAAGAACCTCCCTCCCTCCCTCCCTCCCTCCCTCCCTCCCTCCCTCCCTCCTTCCCTCCCTCCCTCCTTCCACCACTCTCTTCCTTCCTTCTTAAGTCCCAAGTGGGATGGAAGTGGACTCTGTAGTTGAGCTCTCTACTGGCTTTAGGAACTCTTCACTTCAGTTCTGACTGCGGTCTAATAGCTATTCTCTCTTTGTTTCGTATTTCCTACCCGCTCCTGACCAGTCATCCCAGAGGTCATGATGTGCTGGGCAAGGGAAAAGCCTGGCCCTTTCCGGCATACGATCCGGCCAGACCGTGAAACCAATCCACTGACACACAGAACGGAAAGTGTGAGAGCGCTCCAACACAGGTGACTATATTTAGAAATGCAAACAAGAAGAGCAGGGAGCAGAGGTTAGGAGTCTAGAACTAAAACCGCACATCTTGAAGAGGAAAGAGAAGGGTCGAACAAAAAAAAAAAAATCAAACCAGCGGGAAACACAGAAGAATGATCTCACAGAAAAATCTCCAACAAAGGACTTGTAAAAACCAAAACCAGAGCCACGGAAAGTAAGACCCTGAGTAGGAAATGGAGGAAAATAAATTGTGTGGAGACATGCTTCTCAGCTCACTGAGGGCTGACCGGGAGAAGGCGGCTCAGTGCTAAGCTTCAGCTGTGAAGTGGGCATTCTGGCGACCACAATCAACGTGCTACTGCTTACATTTTCAGACCTAATGAATTCTTGTATACAATGTCATAATATTCCATCACATCCACACAGTCATATCTGCCAACAAATGGTGACTATCGAGTTTTCCTAATGAAAAATTCTCTTTTGAGATTCTTTAAGAATGCAGTTTAGAAATGTTATCGACCCTTTCATAAAACTAAAGCATTTACTCCAAATTCAAATAAGTTGACCATAATCTCCAAGAGGAGACAGTAAGACTACACTGATCCCCTCTGCTCTCAAGACATGCTATGATTTCCTGGCTCAGCCTGGCCTCAAGCTGTAATCCAGGCTGGTCTAAAGCTCAGGACAATCCTCCTGTCTCAATTTCAAAGGTCCTGTGACTGCAAGCCATCAGATCTGTCAAGGTAAGATTTTTTTTTTCCTCTCCCGGGAATAACCTTCAATGTTTTTCAATTACTCAAAGTCTCAAACTCATATCATGCAATCATAACTTCAGAAAATATAAAATACCCAAGCAGACTTGCTGACATGCATGACACGGGTTCTTATTAAATGCGATGGAATAAACCATGGCGGAGCGTTACCACGAGCATGCCCTTAGACTTAGCACCGCACACCTCGTTTGTCAGAACTGCCGGAGATCATCAGGCTGTTTGGAAAACGCACATCCCATTACAAGTTTTCTCCACCCATAATGCGTGTGGCAGTGAAGTCAGCAAAACAAATGTGCATGCTCCAGACTCTGCTTGACATACTACAGGCCAACAGGATATCATATTGACTCTCCTTGGTACAACCTTGCCTCAGTTGCGGTAAGGTGCCGTGGTAAGGGAGATATATAAAACACCTTTTACAGAAACACTCTGGTATTTTTCATTGGAAAGAATGTAATCTCTTATTTTAATTCAGAAACCTCAAACTGAAAGGTATTATTATTCCATATGCTAAGAAAAAGAGTAATTTGAAAGTAAAATTTAACTTCATTTCCATTCTAACTTTTTTATTGTTTCTTTTTTCAACTTTGAAGTTCTGATATTCTTCTGTGCCTGAAGCACCATTCTATTACTTCTGGAATCAAGCAACCTCACCCTCTGTCTTCCTCACGTTGGGGAGGCCAATATACAGATGAAGGAAATCTAAATCTGTGTCCTCCCTGCCCTTCGTGGTACAACCTCTCCCCACCTGCTCCTGCCCCCTTCACTTCCCAGGAAAGGGATGTGTGCCAATTGGCCGAGTGAGTGCCACCACCTCACACAGGGTGGATTTCAGCCTGGAAGGCTGCTGCAAACAGCACTCCTGGGGTGCGGGCAGGGCTAGAAGGAAGAGGTTCTAACCACACTGAGAACCTGCCATGCAGGAGGTGCTGGCCTTCTGGCTCAGTTCACAATTAGCATGGAGGAGCTTCTGCTACCTCTATTAAGTCCGGGTAAACTGAGTCAAAGGTACATTTGGGAAGAAATGCTGGCTTTGAGAGAGGAGCGAGAGAACAGGTTTGCAAGTCATGGTACCTATGTCCCATTGTTCTTCATATATGACATGGCGATGCATGAGCTAAGTGAAAAAAAAAAAAAACAGTGACTGATGCTTTTCCCTGGCACTGCATTTCTCTACCTGCTACTCCTAATACACAGCAGAACGTGGAGCTGAGAAGACGCTGTCTTCAAAGTGAAATCAAAGAGAGCCTAAGTAGGTTAAACACAGTCTTAGAGCTGTAAGACGAGAAGTTTGCCAGCTGTGTGGAAACTTTATAGTTCTCATTGTAAAGAGGAGGAGAAATCAGCCTCTAAATGCCTTTATTATAGGGCTGGAGAGTTAGCTCAGTGATTAAGAGCACATACTGCACTTAGAA